CTTTCAAAGCCATGCTACCAGAAATGTGCTGCCTAAAGGATGATAGGTCTGCCTCAGGAAGGGGACATCCAAGCTCCGAATATCTATGAGGGTAGCTGATGAGGTTCAGCCGAGATCGAGCCCTAATTCATCGCTTATTAGAGTCTATCAACCCCGATGACACCATGTGAAAATGGCACATGTTAAGAACTAACTTATTCGCATCAACAAGTCCGGCTGGGGTACCAGACCGTCGCTTGATTAGGCAATCGAGCTTCTGAACCTTTGCAAAGTTATCGGCTATACACTAAACCTTAACTGTTTCCCTGAGGCGGAAAGAGGGATGAATTAAGGAAACCAGGCAAAAATGTGTTACTTTTATGCCACTTCATTGGCCTGTCCAGGCAACTTTCTGCTTTGGCTCAAGTGTTCAGATTTCTCTATTACGCTGTATCGCTTCCGGTGCTGTCTTCTATGTAGAGCTTGGCTGTCCGGCTCTAAGAGTAGTCCGTAGGCAGGTCAAATGTTTCAACGAGCGTGGCTATGTTCAAGACGAGGCCTCCGAGTTGCATGTCATAAACAACACCGGATGCAGCCCAGTGGCAGGGGAACCGCTTCTATGACGATGAGACCAATGACCTTCAGACAATACTTTCTTGTTCGTCTATTCAAGTCCCTATTTTGGCATGAAAATTGTACGTCTGAAAGTGGCCAAGGCAGGTAATGCGAGGTGATGTTGCAAATAACTTTGCTAATGAATTATTCTTATATTATTGCGATTTATTCTACCCAAAATAGCCAATATTTGCCAGAAGGCATTAATATGGAGTGCTTATAGATATTTGAATAAAAGTTACTAATTCCTCTTTTCTGAAATTAAACCACATATGTATGAGGTGTAGTCAAAATATTTCTTAAAGTGCTGAAGGAATCGTAATTGAATTTTCCTATACTGATATGAATCGAGCTTACGTTTCAATAGAATTTCACATATCCTTGCTTTCCCAAAAGTTATCTCCATCCAGGGTTGATTACAGTTTCGACATCGCTTAGGTCTCATCAGCCCCCCAGATGGACTCAAACCCGGGTTCTGATAATACAACGTATAATCTCTACACTAAAACCATTACACCACACTACCACGAGTGCCCTGGATCGCAGGAAAGATGTGAATTTCAATGAAGGTCATACATTTTTCCATATCACTTTCTGTAGTGGGATTATTAATGATACCAATTTACTACATTAATTATTTTTAGTTTTTAGAGAGAGTTTAATTTCCTATGAAGAAGACATTCTCAGGTCATTCTCTCCAAAAGAGGACGGATGAATCCCGCTGTACTGCAGCTGTTTGGCTTTTATACGACGTTCAGGTTGACGCAGTCCACGAGACCTCCTCCGTCGTTTTGGGTGAAAATAGGTTGAGCTTTCGTCGATCGTATGATCGACATCATCAGAGCTGGAACACATTCTTGTAAAAGTCTCACGTTAACACTAGGGCAAGAAGACTATCCTGCTCTATCTTACCTCTTATATAGACTTAATTAAGCAAAAGAAAACTAAAAACCTAGATAGATATAGAATGGTTTGGCTAATTATCTTCAATAGTTGACTTGTTACTTTTAAAAGAGTATGTATGTGTGTTTATGCTTTAACATCTATACGCAATACCGGTCCTAAGTCAGAGTGATCAAA